CCCCAGGGGCAGTTTTAAGTTAGACAATCTGGCAGGAGACTGGCTAACAGGCAGAGGGCAGAGACTCAGACCCATGTCTACAGAAAGAAAAGGTAAATTGCGGAAGGCTACCATAGCCTCAGCCACCGGCTAAGGTTCAGGATGGGATCCAGGCCTTAGGAGGGACAAATGAAACAGGAAAGAGAAAATCTCTGCCAACCCAATGTTCACTTTTACAAACTGGACCAACTCCAAGAATAGGAAGGGTTCTGATCTGATATTTTCATGGGGACCAGAAAGTATAGACAAAAATCCAGTGATGGCAAAGTCACAGGATTTGGGAGAGTTAGCATTGTTGCAGGTCTCTGTACAGTGAGCTGAAGTGTCCCCAAAAGTCACCTTGTTAACTGTTGCTGAGTCATTTCCTTGGTTATACAGGCATAACTTGCTTCATCATCTTTTACTTCACAGATAGTAAAATTTTACAAATTAAGGGTTTATGGCAAAGTTACCTCCTGCAAGTCTGTTGGTGCCATTTCCCTAACAGCCTGTGCTCACGTGGCTTTTATGCATATTTTGGCCATTCTTGTAATATTTCAAACTTTTCATTATTATTATGTAGGTTACAGAATCCTGTGATCAGTCATCTTTGATGTCATTATTTCGGGGCATAATAAGCTGACCCATATAAAACATAAGACAGTGTAGTTAATCTATCAGTGCCAAATATGTCCTGTCTGCTACACCCACTTGCCTTTCCCCATCTCTGTCCCTCTCTTGGGCCTTCCTGTTTCCTCACAACAATATTGAAATTAGACTAATCAATAAACTTAAGATTGCCTCTACTAGTTCAAATGAAAGAAAGAGGAGTATATTGCTCAGTTTAATCACAAGCTAAAACTGATTAAGCTTAATCAAGAAGGCATGTAGAAAGCTGAAATAGGCTAAAAGCTAGGTTTCTTGTGCCAAGTACTTACCCAATTTCTGAATGCTAAGGAGTAGTTCTTCAAAGAAATAAAAAGTGCTACTCCAGTGAGGACAGAAATGATAACAAAGCTGGAGAGGCTTTTTGCTGATATGGAGAAAGTGTAATGATCTGGAGAAAAGATCAAAGCAGCCATAATATTCTCTTAAGCCAACGCCTAATCCAGAGCAAAGCCCTAACTCTCCTGACATGCACACAGGCTGAGAGTGGTGAGATAGCTGCAAAAAGAGACATTGAAGTTGGTCTAGACTGGTTCATGAGGTTTAAAGAAAAATACTGTCTCTATAACATAAAAGTACAAGGTGAAACAGCAAGTGCTAAAGTAGAAGCTGCAACAAGATTTCCAGAAGACCTGGCTGCAATAAATTAATGAAGGTGGGTAAAGTGAGCAACAGATTTTCAATGTAGACAAAACAGTCTTCCATGAGAAGATGGCATCCAGGACCTTCCTACCCAGAGTAGAGAAAACACTACATCTTCAAAGCTTCAAAGGACTTTATTGGTTGGGACTAATGTAACTGGTGACTTTAAAGCCAGTTCATTTAAGCCCACTCTTGTGTGGGGATTTGTGAAGTGATTTTGAAGGTGTGAAACTTTTTCCGTGGGAAGGTGTGAAACTTCCCCACTATCCCTATATCAGGTGCCCTAACCTTTCAATTATGCACAACAGAGATGAATCTCTAGGGTCCCCAGCATTGAGGGCTAGTGAGAAACAACACTAGAAGAATCTTAAGAATTACAGGAAACAGAGAACCCACCTTTAACAGACCCATGCACAGACTTATGCAGGGATCCAATGTGGTATGTTGGGCTGACAAGTACCTGAGCCCTAAGTGAAGGAAACCATTCTTATAGCATTTACCTGAAAGGCTGGTAGCTTTGGTTGTGTTCTTCAGGTTAGAAACACTGAAAGGCGCCTTCTCAGCACCTTTGTGCAACACTACTAACACTAGTGATGGGGCAGAATGTACCCCAGAGTCTAAACACTGTGAGTGAGTATGGCTGAGAGTTCCACCCACTCTTGCAACATGACCAATGTCACTGCCACTGTAGGTAACTCTCAGTGCCACAACACCCCAAAGATATGACAGGTGAGCAACTTCATCCACTCACTGTAAAGCAGCAGCACACCTAGGCTGGCACAGGCCCACAGTACTATCTACTCAGCATACCACAGTTGAGTTCCCCAATTGAGTTCCACCACTCCAGAGCTGGGCCAGAATGGCAGCCCCACAAGCGGTGTTACATAGACATCGCAAGAAGCCCACCAAGCAGGTATGCCTAGAGAGTCCAAGGAGGACTATGCTCCTAGACTCCACAGAACAGCGCCTGTACAGCCCCCCCCACCCTTACAGGGTCATGAGAGGAAATAACTAAACACAGGTATAGAGAATTAGGTGAAATAAGGAGGCAGAAGAACCTTGTCCAATGGAAAGAATAAGGCACCCTGAAAAAAGACTATATAGGAATGGACATAAGCAATCTATGTGATGAATAGTTGAAATAATAGTTATAAAGATGTTCATCAAACTTGAAAAAGAATGAATGAACTATAAAATTTAAGAAAATCTAAACAGAAATTATAGAGCTGAGGAATATAAAGACAGAACTGAGAAATGCAATAGAGGGGCCAGCATCAGACTGACTGCAGCAAGGAATGGGTGGGTGAACTGAAAGACAGAGTCACAGAGCTCATCCACATAGGTCAGAAAAGTGAAAGAAAGAATTTTTTAAACGTGAAGACACCTAAAGCAACTTCTGGAATAATTTTCCTCTTTTAGGAGTTCCAGAAGGAGAAGAGAGAAAAAAATCAGAAAAATTATTTGAGGAAATATGGCTGGAAATGTCCCTAATCTGGTGAAGGAGACACACATGGCGGTACAAGGACCCAGAGAGTTCCAAATAAGAGGTACTCAAAATGAAACACACAAATCTACACCAATACTATAATATATAATAGAAATTTGCTAGGAGACCATATTTAAAAGACACTTTATAACTAAAATGGCAAATGTTAAAGATCAAGAGAAACTTCAAAGCAGCAAAGAAAAGCAAATTGAAACTTAAAAGCATGTAAGCTAGGCCAGAAGGGAGTGGAATAATATAGTTGAAGTTCTGGAAGGAAAAAATGCCAACCAAGAATTCTTAAGCAAGATTAATGGTCAGAATTGGAGAGGTTAAAAGTTTCCCAGAGAAGCAGAAGTGAAAGAGATTCCATACATGAAACTGGCCTAATAAAAATGGTAAAAAAATTTTTTTAAACAGAAAAGAAATGACACCAATTAACAACAACAACAAAACATACGAAAGAACAAAAATCTCACTAGAAAAAATAATATACAGCTACAGTAGTACATGGATCACTTATGAAGCAAACATGAATTATGTACAGCTACAATAATCAGTCCAGGGAAACATCTAGAGTTGTAAAATAAAACATAAGAAATATAAAATGGGCCCTCCCTGGTGGCGCCTTGGGTTAAAGCACTGCACTGAGAAGCTAAAGCCACTTCCGCATGAGTTCGATCCCTGCCTGCCCCGGAGGTGACCACATGGCGTGGCAGACCTCTCCTGACCCGCCCGCTGCTCCCCTCAGCAGTGTACTTCCTCAATCTACCAGTTCTAGAAAATACTAACACCTGTGGGGATAAAGTTTTCTATGTTCTATATTTCAAGCCTTATTGTGTGTATACACATTACATACACATGGCAGGAATAAAAAGCACAATGTGTTTACACTGAAAAGCCAGTCTTCCTCCAGCCCTATCTCCTAACCACACAGCTACCCTTCCAGGAGGCAACTGCTATTCCCAGAGCAATTTATTTATATAAACAAATACTACTTATATTTTTAAAGATTTATTTATTTATGCATACAGAACTGAGTTACAGGCCAGAGGTGAAGGGGTGGTGAGAAGATTCACCAGAGTCAGAGTGGGGAGCAGAACAGGCAGATCAACGAAGTACACTGCTGAGGGGAGCAGTAAGACAGGAGGTGTCCCAGAGGTGGGGTGGGGAGGGCCCAAACTTGCTCTAAAGAGGCTTAGGCTAGTTTGCAGTGCTGCGCTTTAACCTACTGCACCACCAGGGAGGGCCAACTACTTATTTTCAAAAGTACAAATAGTAGCACATTATGTATACTCTGGATTTTTCTCCTTAATATGTCTTGGTGACCTTACAGCATTGGATAAAGGGATGTCATTCTTTTTCATTGAAAGCTTAATATAAAGAGTGCTAATGGTTAAGAAACAGTATGTAATTTATTTTTGCCATTTCAAGAGCAGAGTTGCAGCTAGGTTAATCTTTTATTTTCTGGGCTTCAATATCAGGCAGTTCAAAGTTTTTTCTCTCCCCTGTGGCTCTCTTTGCCTTACTAAGTGTCCCCATTCTATGACCCTCCAACTCCTATCTGACACAGATCTGGCTTCATCATTTCATTTTTGATGAGTCGAATGTAAAAAACCTAGATGACGTGATTCAGATGTCTCTTAAGGACAAAAGATTAAAAGGTGACATAAAATAAAATATGGAGAATTAAGGGGTGAGGGTGTGTTGAATATGTGAGATTTGCACAACTGCTTATTATCTGAATCCATTACAACTAGAGTCATCTCTCTCCAGTTATGCACTTGGAGACAGAATCTATACAGGCTCAGGTCAGATTGTGAATGCACTGCTTTAGACTGTTCTAAGAATCTAGATTCTCAGTCACTGTAGTTCACAAGGACCGTGCATTCACTCAAATATTTTCCACATTCTTTGTCTGATTTTTTTCTTTTTTCTCGTGAAGCAAGCAAGGCTCACTCATTATCTAAGGATGACTGAGAATACAAGCGTATTCCTTGCCTAAGCAGCCTATGCAGGCTGTGGCTAAATGCATTCCAAAATATGTGCTATAAATAGCTGTTCATTGTCAGCGAGTGCGAAAAGACAAGGCCTAGTTGAGTGGTTGCGTCTGCTCAGGGTTATAAGCAAATAGCCGCTCCCACTGATACTCCAGTACGTGGGCACGGCTGGGGCTTGCCACTTACTGAAGGAAAGCTGCTCGATGCTGTTTCTGCCTCCACGATGGCAAAAATCATTTTGAGGCACCATATCGAGACTCCGGTGCGTTACCAGGAGGAGTTTGAAGCTCGGGGTTTGGAAGCCTGCAGGTTGGATCATGCGTTATACGCATTGCCGGGGCCAACCACCGTGGACTTAGGGAGAGGCAGGGTGGCCCAGGCTCCGCCACTGGACGTAGCCTCAGAAATGCCTCCCCGCTTTCAGATTCTGCTGGATGTAGTTCAGTTCCTCCCTGAAGATATCATCATTCAGACCTTTGAGGGCTGGCTGCTGATTAAGGCTCAACACGGAACAAGAATGGACGAACATGGTTTTATCTCAAGAAGTTTTACCCGACAGTATAAACTGCCAGATGGCATTGAAACCAAAGATCTGTCTGCCATTTTCTGCCATGATGGAATTCTGGTGGTGGAAGTAAAGGATCCAGTTGGAACTAAATAAAAACTTATTGGTTCCTGTTCATATGACAAGAGGAAGATTCTAGTTCAGCTAGTAGTACCACTGGAATGCTTGAATTACCCACGTTTGAAATTATTTTCATGAAGATTAAAACTATAGTCACAGTTTCGGGTATGTTGAGGTTGCCTTTGTTTTCATACTAAGAAAGGAAAATTGTTCAATGTGTTGAAAAGGGATGTTGTTCTTACAACTGAAATACTGTCCGTGTAGGAGCCTGCGGTTTGATCTAGAAAAGAAACAGAATTATTTCTTCATCACTTCAACAATGCTAGGAAAGCTGCATTTGTGGTAATTGATGGCTTAATTGTCATGCTAATTTAAGGAACTTGTATCCATCTTATGAAAACTTTCTGAGCTAAAGAAGAGTTGTGATTCCTTTCAATTGATAAGCTTTCCCTTAGGTTGTTTTCATTAAAGTGGAGTGTTGTAAATGTAGCGTCTGAAGATAAAATAGCATTTGGAAATTGGGTCTGAAATACATGATTCACTGCAGTTGTTGCTTTTTTAAACTTATGCTGGAATTTTCATATAAAAACCTTACTTTTAAAAAGTTTTAAATATGTACTGCATTCTTTCTTTAAAAAAAAAAAAAACTAAAGTGAATCTTACCTGCAGTGTTTTTCTTAACTGCCTATGTTCTTGGATACTTATAAATATTAATAAGATGTGTACTAACATTCATACATTAATATTAAGTTTAGGAAACCATTTTAAAAGTCTAATTACTGATATTAGAGTTGCAATCTATGCTTTTCAGATGCCACTTACACTTTTAGATTTCACAAGATGGCAAGAGGTAGTGCTCTCTTGGCATAGCCAGTAGATTTAAATAGCCTGGCAGGCAGTGAAGTTCAGAGGCCCAAGTTTACACAGGCGTCTGAGTTTGTACAGCATGTGGCTGTGGCCTGCTTCTATTCTCCCTCTGCTGCTTCCACCCAAGGGAATGGGTGAGACCTTGGGCGGAGGTTGAGGATTTGTTTCAGGAACATTGACTTCAACAGCTGGTCTGTGACATTCCAAAGATTTGCTATCTCATTCTGTACATGCTAAATATTGCTTAGGAGGAAGTAGCTGGTCTCTCCCCAGCCCCCATGTGACTGATTGGGAGTGAGGACAGTGCTATGAATAGATGAGGCTGTGAGGGGAAAACACTGGGTAAATGCTGACTGCATAATACCACCCTGCTTCTCCAGTGTTTTATTTCAAATGAAAAACGTGAGAAAAAAAACAATAGAACAAGAAATCAAAGGGGTCTAAAAGTAGTTTTGAAAACAAGTATAATCTGAGAGACATGTTTGTTTATAGTTGATATAAATTGAAACGATTTTGAAGCTGTGTTTATCTGAGGTTATACCTCTACACTGAGGTTTGTGCATCGAACACTAGGATAAGAAATTTTGTTTGACAGAGTTATCTCAGACCAGCTTTGCTACAAAACAAAGAATAAGTAGTGAGATTATATCTACTAATATGATTAGAACTGGGATGCCATTTGTCACATTAGATCATTTTTTCCCCACTGATTTGGAAGAGTGTTAAAACACACTAGTGCTTTGACCAGTGCTACTTCTGGAAAAGTTCAGAAAGTAAAATTCTTAACACTTGGAAAAAGAAACATTTCCTTTAAGAATGAAACTGCAAATAAGCATTTCATCCAATTAATTTTTTTCATGGTAAATTTTAAAGTAATATATAGCTACTTCTTGATTTAGAAAATATACCTAACAAGATGAAAAAAAATATTATTCTACCACCATAATGTAGTTGCTTAGAATTTCTATTTCAACCTTCTCTTACATAAATAGATTCATGCCTTTTCACAAAAGTAATTGCCAGTTTCCTCCCATCTTCCAACAACCCAAATCCTTCTCAACCCAGGCATACTGACACCTATGGTCACCTCATTTTAGTTTCTAGTTGGGTTCAGCCAATCAGAGCTACCAGCTGAGACTGGAGAGGGAAGGTCAGTGGGCAGGAGGGGAAAATGGTCAGGGCATATCTTTCCCGAGTGCCAGCCTACTGCCTACAAGTCTAGGGCACAGGGGAGCAGGGGGAAGTGGGGAGTGGCACCTTGCATCCCTCCTGGGGATAAGGTTGTGCTCTGTTACCCTGTATTACAGCTCCTGTTCACCCTTTGGTCCTATCAGTAAAAGAGAGGGTGTGTCTTTTGCTCCCTCTTGTCCCTGGTGCTTTGCCATCCTTATTGATTCCCTTTATTTCACTTGCTTTCCCAAACTCCCTGCTTTCCCTTTATTAAAGTCTCTCTCAAGTGATAGAACTCTGTTTCCTGCCAGTACCCTGATTACTTGACATTTTAAGTGATAAGGAAAAAGTACATCACTTTTGCTATCAAACATTTACTGCTTTGTGTTGGCTACACATTACTGATCTCAACAGACTCAGGCACTCTGTGCCCAACAGACAGTCTCAAACTGGAATCACTCAAATTGGAATACTCTTATAAAGAGGTTAATAACAAAGATGTGGGTGGGGTGCAAGTGAACGCAGAGACAATATGTAACCTAAGAGTACTTGTGTGGAGCTATTAATGTCCCCTAGGTCCAAAGGATGAGATGAGAAAGCAGATTTCAGAAATCGAAAACAAAGTCAGAGAGACCACCAGGTGCACCACCTGAGGGTCACAACCAGCCCAAGGTGACCTCTCACTGGGCAGGAGCCAGGAAAATAAATACATTTTCCCTCTAGCCTCTTACCGGGGCACAGCACTGGCTGGACCTGATAGCCAGAGGGCACAGGAGCCCTGTTGACATAGTTTCATAGCCTCCCTGGGCAGAGGACATGTGTAAAGGGCTCTCTGGGGAGGGAAGGGGAGAGGAAAATAACCTACAAAATGAACACTGCTGTTATAACTCTCTTAGAAAATCTTTTCTCCAAAATGCAACAATAGTTGAAGTGCTGACACTTTTTTTGGAATAGTGCAAGTCCAGGATGGTAAAGGTTAGGAAACTGGGGAAATGAAACAAGAAAAAATGTGAAGCAAAGTGTTGTGATGTGTTACCAAGCTGGGCACCCCCTCACAAAGAGCTACCAGGGAACTCAGCAGCTGTTTGCAGGGAAGTGGGCTCAGCACTCCGCCCTGATCTTCAAGAAGATCAAATCTTAATGCTATGCATAGGGAAGAGGGACTTTATCTTGCTCTATTCCCTCCTATGTTCTATGTCCCATGAGTCAAGAGGATTGGTTCACCAGGAATGGATTGACCTGCACTTTTAGGTTGTATCTTCCAAACCCTTAGTGGCAGCACAGAAAACCAGTGTGAAATTTGTGGCCCACAGTGTGACATTTCATTCATGCTGGGAACAGAGGATGACTCCGCATGGTTAGGATTCAGGTTGAAGAATGGGGTCTCAGGGCTTCAGGTAGGACTCTAGGCTCCTTAGAAATGTGCAAGGGCTTGGTCCAGGAGGTAGCAGCATGGTCTGGGAGACAGGCAGTACCTCCAGAAAAAGAAGGTTGGGGACAAGGTATATGGGGTGTGTGTCTAACACAGAGTCAAATCCAGAACTACAGGAAGGGGGTGCCAGGCAAACCACATTGTCTTAAGGCACCTATTGCCTATGCCTATTGCCTATGTGCCCTACATAGTCTTCAACTTATGGACTCTAATAGCAGCTTATACTTTGATCTAATTTTTAATATGCTTAGGTGCTAAGTCAGCCCTTTCAAATTTCTCCAGATTTTTTCTTCTCCTATAGATTGTGGGCTATATTTCTTGTTTGCTTGTTGGAAGTGGCTACTTTGCACCTTATCAGTTTGGAAGTCATTGATGATTTTGGTTCCCACAGACCTCTAAATTGCACTGCAGTCCTCCTGGTCTTACACAAATACCATTTGTGATTATTTGAAAATTGCTGTTAATAGTCAGTATCGCATCCAAAAAGTGATCTTAAAAGACACAAATGGAAATGCAGATGGCCAACAGGCATATGAAAAAATGTTCTACATCACTCGTAATAAGGGAGATGCAAATTAAAACCACAATGAGATACCACCTCACCCCAGTGAGAATGGCACATCTTCAAACAACTAGCAACAACAAATGTTGGCGAGGATGTGGAGAAAAAGGAACTCTCCTGCACTGTTGGTGGGAATGCAAACTAGTACAACCACTATGGAAAACTGTTTGGAGGTTCCTCAAACTGCTAAACATGGAGCTTCCCTACGACCCAGCAATCCCACTCCTAGATATCTATCCAAAAGACACAAAAACACTGATTGAAAAAGATACCTGTACCCCCATGTTTATTGCTGCTTTATTTACAATTGGAAAAACATGGAAGCAGCCCAAATGCCCAAAAGTAGATGACTGGATTAGAAAGATGTGGTACATATATACAATGGAATATTACTCAGCAACCAAAAAAGAGAAACACATGTCTTTTGCAGCAACTTGGATGGAGCTGGAAAAGATCATGCTTAGTGAGATAAGCCAGAAAGAGAAAGAAAAATACCGGGTGGTTTCACTCATAGCAGGAGTATAATGGACCAGGTAGAAAATAACAAAAATAATGAACAACCACATACCAGAGACATGTGGGGAATGGGATCAAAAACGGGGGAGGGAGAGAGAAATGCACGGGATTATGGTGATGGCACACGGGTGATTTGGTGATTGGAAACCCGTGGGGATTACGATCGAGATGGAAAAAAAAATGTACAAAATGATGTAAAAATAAACTTTTGTAAAAAAAAAAAAGACACAAATGATATACAATCTTATGTAAAAAAAGAAATCAAAATATGTAATAATAATTTTCTTAAGCTTTATATGAATGTTTTTCACTAGTGATCACTGTTGTCTTCAGAGACTCAAATAATTAACTTAAAAATAATATTAAAATATTGGTCTAGCATACTAACTTACAGTCTGTGTTTTATATTTTGAAAGGAAGTCTGCTTTTGCAATTGAATTGCTGAGATATTGTCTGCAAATAACAGAGGTAATGTTTTATATTTGAAAAATAAATAATTCTAAGAAAAGGTTTTTTTTTTGTTTCAACATAAGTTCTATGTATATACTTATAAAATCCTGTGTACTAATGATTCCTCAAGTTCAGATACAGAGAAAATATACTGTAATAAGATAAAATGGTCCATATTATGTCATTGTTTGTAATTTTTAAATTTTCTTCATGACCTGATATGTAGTCATTTTTTTAAAGACAACTACCTGTATACTTAAAAATAATATGTAGAATAACATAATGTATCAATACTTTCTCTTGGGATACACACACATATGATTTTATTTGCTGTTTTGTTTTTCAAATAGTCTTTTCTTTTTGTGTTATGTTTACCAGAATGATTTAATTTTTTTAAAAGATTTATTTATGCATACAGAACTGGGGTATAGCCCAGAGGTGCAGGGGTTGTGAGAGGATTCACCAGAGACAGAGTGGGGTGCAGAACAGGCTGACTGAAAAAGAACACTGCTGAGGGGAGCAGCAGGTGGGTCAGGAGAAATCTGCGGCACCATGTGGGTCGCCTCCTGGGTGGGG